TTCTGTGGATTGTCTTCATTTTTTTGATGGTGTCCTTTGAAGCAAGAAAGTTTAATTTTGACGAAGTCCAATTTATCTATTTTTTAAATTTTGTGTTTATGCTTTTCATTTCATATGGTTTGTTCATTTTTAATGATGATGTCTTATTTTGCCTTCTTTCTATAGCAAGAACTGGCCTCAGCAATGAGAAACATCACTTGTGATGGTGGAAAGTACAGAATCTGACCAGAGAGCACTAGCTCCTCCTTGAAGTCAACAAAGGCTGTTAAGAAAGGTGATAATCATAACTAACACACACTGCACAATGGCTGTGTGCCAGACATTGTGCTCAGCTCTCAAAGCATTGTTTTTTTCGTTTGTTTTTTGAATCCTCACAACAGACCAACGACATTGCTGTTCCCACTTGACAGCTGAAGAAATTGAGACTCAGAGTAAGTGATGTCCTCAATAGCCTACAGCTGGTAAGGAATGGAGCCAAAGTGCCAAATTCAGTCTTGATTTTCATGGGCTTGCACTGATCTCACTAGTTTAAAGTCGCCAGGGCGTCCATTCCTTAAACATGCAGTAAACACTCCACATACGTTTTTGAGAGCCTAATATGGAATAGGAATTATGCTAGGTATTGGTGAACAAATCAGATACAGTCTTTGCCCGCATGGAGCTTACAGACTAGGAGAGAGGCTGACAATAGGCAGAATCACACAAATAAGTGTAAAATGATCAGTGCTGTGAAGAGGTACCCAGTGCTATGAGAGCTTATAACAGATCTGTCCTATTCTGGAGGAGGGGATCATGGAAGCCTTCCCAGAAGTGATGCTTGAACTGAGATCTTCCAGAGGACTCTGGACTATTTGAGGGGACAGCTTGGGAAAGAACATTGCAGAAAAAGGGAACAGCAAGTTCAAAAGCCCTGAGGCAGGAAAGAAATTATGTATTTTTGCTAGTAGATTTTATTAATTGCCTGGAAATCTGTACTTGATGTTTGGATTTGGGGAAATCCCATAGATCCATAATAAAATATGGACTGTGCATAATAATCTTTATCTGAGACAATTACTGGACTTTAGAATTGATTTAGACATGAAGCCATCAGGAACCATGATTTATGTATTCAACAAACATTTCTCAAAGGAATCCTGGCTGTGGTTGAGGGATGAAGGAGTAGAAGTGCAAGGAGTTGAGCCCAGAAAGGACCGCAAGAGCTGGATCAGGCAAAGCTTTGGAGGAGTTGGCATATTTTCCCAAATGCAATCCATAGGAAGCCACCAGAAGGTTATTAAGAAGGGAAGCAACAATGATAGGATTTATGTTTGAAAAGTGGAGGGAGCATTCTAGGGAGAATGGATTGGCAGGGAGCAGAGTAGAAGCAGGGAGAACAGGTAGGAGGCCATGGCAGTGGTCCAGTAAGAAGTAACAGTGGTGTGGATGAGGATGGTGGTGATGGGAGGAGGGATACAGCATACTGTGTTCCATTTAGCTGGTGGGTGCTCATCTAGCCCCTTCTCCACCTGGCCTGGGACCGCAACCCCTGGGCTTGCTCTCTGCCCACTCCCAAGAGTGCAGTGTAAGTTACTCAGGCCCCTGGGTTTATGTGCCTTCTGGTTCCTCAGTGGCCCCTGCTCCCCGCAGCCCAGGCTGTTCAGCTTGGCTTCCAAGGAGGTCTTTTTCTCCAGTGAGTGGGTCTGAAGAATGATGGAGCCGTCACTAATCTGATCCTGCTCCTGCTTACTGAGGAGGGCGCTTGGCGGGGGGTTACTCTGGTGTGCTCCTCCTGTGCTCCTCCTGCTTGTGTTCACTGCAGGCCCCAACCCAGAGGAGAGCTAAAGGATTGCTGGTCCCAGGGCTCCCTGCCCCATCCTCCCCTCAAAGCAAATGAAGAGAAAGCTTGAAATTTCTTCTTCCACAAGGAGACACATTTCTGTATTTGTGATAGGGAGAGAATATATTTTAAACCTGCTTTTTCTGGTGATAACAGGAATACAATCTTATCAGAGAAAATTGGAAAGTACAAGAACATATAAGGAAGCCTAACCATTATTCATAATCCTACCCTGCATTTTTGTGTATTTTTCCGGTCATATATACCCATCTTTAAATCGGTCATATAACCTCAATAGACTTTTGTGTATCTTGCTCTTTCCACTTTGTGTTTTAAGCAATTTCCCGTGTCACTAAAGCCTCTCCACACACAATTTTTAGTATTTGCAAAGTAGTCTTTTTTGAAAACATATTTTACATAACCTTTCCTATTTGTTGGACATTTGGGTTGTATGTAAGTTCTACCATTATAAGGAGGTGCGTGAACATCTTTGTTTATAAATCTTTGCCTACATTTTGGATGCCCTCTCCCCCTGTAGATTTCTAGAAGGGAGATTAATGAGGGGAGTTATATAGACAGGACAGGAACTAAAATCTTTATGTAGCATAATTCCACCAAAAGGTAACTGTGCTCCTGTAAGGGGAAACTAAAAGATGTGCGGGTCTTTTCCCCTCTGCAAGGACCCTGTGCTCCCCACATCACTTCACCATTCGCCAAGCGGTGGCTATGAGGTGTCTGTGTGTCAGGAATTCCCTCTTTTCTCTAGAGACCCTGATGGATTAAGGGCTTGAGAGGCAGCTGGGGCTGGGATTTCATTGGTCTCTCCCCTCTTGTGGTGGAGCAGAGGGCCCTCCAGGCCTCGGAGTCTGGTTCTGCTGCACGGCTGTAGAACCAGCTAAGCAACCTTGAGCACTGTCATCTCCCCTTTAGGGGCTGGTTTCCTCATATGTAAAACAAGCCAGAGGAGGCAGGATCGGGGTTTGACCAGATTTCGTTATTGTTGCCATTTAAGCAGCAGAACACATTTCAAATTAAATCTCACCAGAACCCCAATCTATGCACCGGCGAAGGGACACTTGTCCTGGTAGAAGTGTGTGTGTGTGTGTGTGTGGGGGGGGGTGCTCTAGTTTGAAACCTCTGGCTTAGAGGATGGAAGTTTCACTCCAGTTGAGTTCAGTTCTCTATTGCTAAAGTTTAAAAAAAAATTATCTTTCTTCTATATTTAAATCTTCCAAATGTGCTGATTGATGAAATCTTTCCTCTTAAAGGCAATTTGGGAATCAGACAAAGTGGAGCACAAAGCCATGGATGTTTAGAGAGGGAGTGAGCAATAAGTGAGACCCGCTGAAAGGGTGACCCTGGCACTTCTAAGAAGGCAGCAGCACAATGGACTCTTCCAAAGAAGCAGTGTCAGTTTATTCCCCCGTTGGCACCGCCCCCTCAGTGGGGCGGAATTGCTTGTTTTCACCCTCCCTTTCCTGGAGTCATTTCAGACCAAATTTGTGTCCACAATTGCCAGCAATTTGAACCCAGAGTCACCTACGGACAGGTATTTTATTGAGGCCCAAACACTGTGAAAGATATGAATAGGGGGGTGGATATGACAAGAGAGTTTCCTCCCGCCCCTGAGACATGGAGCACGGAGCGCGGGGAGGCTCACCGACCTGGCGGCCTGTGGGTTTGCTCCAATCACAGTAGCAAGGGTTGCAGCACTAACCCCCGAGATCTGTGGCCCTGAGACCGGGAGAGGAGGGAGTGGTCCAGAGGCCTCGCCCAAGCCCGGACGCAGCAGGCCCGGGAGGAGCACCAGGTGGAGGGCAATGCGCCGGGGTCTGTAAATCACCACCGGGGGCCCTCCCACCCCAAGCTGAACAGTAGGGGGTGAGGTGTGGTGGTGGGGGCAGTGCCAGCGTCTGCGGGGGAGGGGTGGCGCTGCCTTCCCTGGGAGACCCGACCTTTCTTGGGGAGGCGTGGTGAGCTTAGTCTCCGGGATCCGCAGTGATGTGTAAAAAGCGGGCACGACCCCCGAAGCCGCAGAAAGCCCCCGCCCCTCCCCCGAGGCCCGCCCCGGCCCGCAGGTGAATGGCTGGCCCGCACAAAGGAAGCCGGTTGGAAATGTGGAATTCGGACCAATTTACGGGAGATTCTGTCGCCGAGTCCCAGCAGACCTCAAGCAAAGAAACCTGTGGTCGGGAGTGGTTGAGGATAAAAACAGTGCACCAAGCCAAGCTTATTGGAAAGACTGAGTTTAGTTATTCTGGGATAGCGAGGTAACAGGATTAAAGGGATTAAGGAAATCACCTCAAACAGCTGAGGAGAGGGTAAAAAAACACTGGTTCTATTTGTTTTCTTCCTCGGCCCCAAACAGATACACTGGGGCCGTGTGGCCAGGCGCGAAACGCAGGGCCCTTGGGGGGGCACAGTGGAATGCCCAAGGGTCAGGGACTGGGGGAAAGGGGGGGCAGAGTAGAAAGCGGGCTCGAGGCTTGAGATGAGAGGGAGTCTCTTCTAGAAAACAAATAAGTGGACTAGGTTGACAAGTCAAACAGAAAAAGCCATCGGAGTTTTAGAGATCTTTTAAAATCTCAGGTGTACTTTTTAAAACCAAACCTTCTAGTGTTGAATGCGGGCTCTGCCGCTTCAGCCACCACGGTTGAAATGTACTTATTTCCTGCTAGGAATTCCTGTAACCATTTATTTTTAATAGGATAATTGAGATTTCCGAAGAGTTTTCGTTTTGTAAATATTTCAGCTCGCCTCAAGTGTCTTCCCGCCCCAGTGCACAAAAGTAAAGGTGCCCCCTTTGGGGGCCGGTTTCCGCGGCCGCGGGCGGCCCCTCCCCGCCCCGCGTGGCTGCCGCAGCAGACAGTCCCCTTCAGCGCTCCCCGCTATCAACAAGTGCGTGGTCGCGGGATGTCCGCCTCAGCTAGAGTGTGCCCGTCCCCAGGAGACGCTCCCATGGAAGTCAAACCGCTTCCTCCTCGGAGTTTCAGTTGAAAACATTGGGAGCCGCTGTGTTTTGGATGACCAGTAGTTAAAAAGAAACCATTTCAGATGACGCTTGCCTTCCCCCAGGCCCCTCCCCGCCCTCAGGACAGGACCTTGGTTATAATATCGAGGGATGGTCCCCTCCCCAACCTGCACCTATAAGTTTCAGGCCCGCAAAATTATCAGGACTCCATTATGTTGGTTATAAAATTTATTCATCTCTCATTTAGGAATTAAGAGTAAAACCTTGAAAAACCTGAAACAAAATAGCCCCTTCCCCACCACCCAAACGAAATACGAATACATTAGCGCGACGGAATATCAAACAGATCACGGCAGAAATCACCAACTCAACAGCCTAAACGCGGACTGGACAGAAGCTGTCCCGCGGCCAGGGGCGGCGAGGCGGGAGACACACGCACACCTGGCTATAAATTAACATTGGCCTTAGCTGCCGCGCCGCCCCGCGCGGTCAGCCCCCCCAAAACCCACGAGGAAAACAGATGCAACGCGACCAGGGGAGGGGGCGTTGCAGTTCTCAGGCCAGCCTCACCCAAGAGTACATTTCTCCATTCACTCACTCCTCGGCTAACAGCAAACTAACGAGACAACATTTTCAAATGCAACAGAAAAACCCAGGAACCCAGGAGGAGGAGGGGGGCTGCTTTTTCTTTGCAAACATCACAGCGATTCCCAGCCTACAAAAGGGGAGGGAGGGGCAGCGGCAAGGGGCTGGTGAGTTCTAGCAAGCCCCATTTCCGCTGCTCCGGACTTTTTGCTTTTGTACAAAACCCGACAGCTACAGCAAAACTTTCTGTCCTCCCCATCATTGGTACAAGGCAGCAGTCCCAGGCAAGCAAAGCTAAACGACAAGGCGTCCCAAGTTGGGGGTGCGGGGCGGGGTGGGGGAGGAGGGGCGGCGAGCTCAGGCCGGCGCTCAGATGTGGGTCAGCGGCACCGTTCCGTTGACGGCAGTCCCGGCGCCCTGGTAGTGCTGGTGTACGCTGTGCAGGCGGCCGCCAGGCAGCGGCGAGGCGGCGTCAGCCGCGTCCCCGCCGGGTGGCAGGTACATGCTGATCATGTCGCGCAGGTCGCCGAGGCACGCGCGCTGCGAGTGCGATGTGATGGCGGGCGGCGGCGAGCTGGGCTCGGTCTTCACCACCGTGCCCATGGGGCCCAGGCTCATGGCGGCGGCGGCGGCGGCGGCGGCAGCGGCGGTGGCGGGCTGCTGCCCGTAGGC